CGGGTTGATCTGGCTATACAAAAACGACCATCCTCAGATCTGAATCCATAATTAAAATAACTGCAGAAGTAGCGAACTACTCCGCCTCAGAATAAAAGCAAACAGTAGAAAACTAGCAAGTTTAACCCGATATGTTTTTTTGTTTCAAAATCTTCAACCTCGCAAGCTTGCTGGTTTTCTATCCGCTTTATTTGGAAGAGATTGCATAAACTGTGTAGGCAGTTTATAGTGTAAGACCCGCCCGAAAGGAACAATTTAAAATAATACAAAAAAAAATATTTAAAAACTCACATATCTTCGGCTCCAAAAGGGTTCGCTTCTTTTTGTTTGTGTTTTGTTGTTCGTAATCGCACGATACGCAGCATGTCGTTATGCCAGCAATCCCTGATAAAAAACACAAACCAATTAGGCCTCGAATAAACGGTTAACAACAAAAAGTAGGTATTGAATAACTCACTATGGCGTTGCTTAGTCAATCAATGAAAAGGCAGCAATTTGGAAAATCTGTTTACCCAGAAAAGCCAGCAAATTAATCGGGTACTTACTTCGATTAAGTCCCTCGATGTTGGTGTTATTTGCCGCCGATCGGATTAGAAGCTGCAATAACAGTACATCGTGCTTGTAGAGACGTGACAATACCAGCTTTTGATATGGAAATCGATTGCTGCTCCATGGCCTCGTGAATGGAAGTTCGATCCTAATCGTTCATTTTGTCAAACTCATCAATAAGACATACACCTTGATCTGCCAGTACCAGGGCGCCTGCCTCTAAAGTCCATTCACGCGATATTGGATTTCGACGAACATAAGCAGTCAAGCCTACAGCACTGGCCCCTTGTCCGGTCGTGAAAACTGCACGTGGCGCTATTTTTCCGTGTACTTAAGAAACTGAGATTTTGCCGTTCCTGGGTCGCCGCATATAAGTAAGTTTATGTCGCCTCTAACTTTGTGTTTATCACCGGGGTTTTTAGACTCTCCACCAAATAGAGCCAGCGCAAGTGCGCGTTTAATATAGTCGTGGCCATATATGGATGGGGCCATTGAAGCTATTATTCTTTCTGCAATCCGAGGATCTTTACTCAACTTCTAAATGGTAGGGATGTCTTCGTCCGTAAGCGATTGTACTACTTGTTTGCTGTCCTTCACAACGATATGATTCGCAATAATGACGGTGGCGAAAACCGGAAACCCTTGCTCAGTGTTTAGCGAACCATCAGAGTTGTTTGTGTAAATACCAGTAACTTCTAACTCATCACCCGGCTTGCATAAGTCACAAAGATCCGCTAAAAGAATTACGTCCTTAGTACGCGGAATCCGACCAGCGGGAATGCGACCAGGCGATTCCTGTAAGATAATCTTCTGGTAATTCCGATATAATGTTTGTTCCATATTAATCGAAAAAGGGCCGGCACTTTGACACTCAGGACAGGAGCCAGGTTTAACTTCTGTATTCTGTGACTGTACAAAGGGCCCCAAAACGTAGCCACACTTCACACAATCGTATTTGATGACTGAAAGTTGAGGTAACACACCCGTTGTAGCTGTTATCACGCCCAAAGTACGCACCAGCTGGTTCAGATGGAGTTTCCGGAAAGTCCGTAACTCTTCTATAAGAGGCAATTCTGATATACGAACATGAATTTCTGTTGTAACACGTTCATATGTTGGAAATATTGATAAGACCATGTCTTTAGCCACCTTGTCGAAGATTTCTAGCATTTGAAAAGGTGCTTCAGGTAGGAAGTACGCAAGTACATGCTCTTTATTTGCCAAATCCGTGTAGGATACAACAAATGAAGATTTATTCTGTTCGCACATGCGTCGAATACGGTCCCGGTATGTGTACATACCACGTTCATCAACAAAGGTGCAGCATTGAAAATCGGCCAAATACTAAGTATACAGGATTCTAAGGTGGTGTCACCGCAGCTGGCTAAAGCTTTTGAACGTGTACGCCAGGCGGCCGACTATATGCCCGATTGGCAAGTAGAGCGCGTAATGATCACACAATTGGGCGCCGTTTGTCGTAATCTTTTGGAAAGTTTCGATGAGAAACCATTTGCGGCGGCTTCCATTGGGCAGGTACATCGCGCTACATTGAAAGATGGCATGCAAGTGGCTATAAAAATTCAATATCCTGGCGTTGCGCAAAGCATCGAAAGTGATATTGATAATTTAGTAGGCATGCTCAAAGTATGGGATGTCTTTCCGCACGGCTTCTTTATTGACAATGTGGTCAAGGTGGCCAAACGTGAACTAAATTGGGAAGTAGATTATACACGTGAAGCTGAATATACAGATAAATTTAAGCAGATGATTGCACCTTATCACGAGTACTATGTACCGAAGGTCATTAAAGAATTGACCACAAGCAGCGTACTGACTACAGAATTAGTGCCAGGTGTACCATTGGACAAGTGCTTCGATTTAAGCTATGAGCATCGCCATCACATTGCTTCGTCTATACTCAAGTTGTGCTTGCGTGAGCTGTTCGAGTTGGAATGCATGCAAACCGATCCAAATTGGTCGAATTTCCTTTATGATGTTGATACGAAGAGACTAATGTTAATTGATTTTGGTTCAACGCGTTTTTATCATGTTATCACCGAACAACTCTTCTCCATCTTCTTCCTCTTCTCGAATAGTCTGATCTCCAAGGATTTCGTCTTCATTCTCAAATGGTTCGAAGTCACCAACTGGGGAAGTCATAGCCGCACGCAAATCACGCCGATCGGCGGCATCACTCGGAGTTGCTGGAGGTGGTGAACTCACTTGGTCCGCCATTTATTTTGGTGTTTTTTGTTTTAGTATTGCTAACTAGTAAATAAATCCGAAAAACTCTTTTCAATATAAAAAACAGAAGGCAAACAATCGCCCGTCGTTGTGTTTTCACGAGAAGTAACTTCGATTAAGTCCCTCGATGTTGGTGTTATTTGCCGAAAAATAACACCAGCAGAAACTATGCCCAGCAACATCCTGTAATTAAGAAAAAATTACATTCAAACATAGCTATATAATACGATATTTTACGCATACTCACCTAACCTTAAGATTACACAACCGCCGCGTGCCAGAAAAATATAATTGAAATGAAATATGAATTCGCCGTGTATGTATACGGATTTCCATTGAATTCATTCTGACATTTTTTTTTTTTTTTTCAATGAAGAAATATCATTTTACCTTGTATGTATGTATACGGTTTTCCATTGTATAAATTCGCCTTGAATGGTTTCTGACAATTGTACCAATGTACTGTTACGATTATCCTCGAAACCTTGAGGGATTTCCCAAATATACTCGGGCTCGTATCGCTGGATTGTTAAATAAATGCTAACGATGACCGAATTGTAGTACAATTAACTTTATTGTACAACAAACAATTTACAATACTTGCTAATACAGTAAAAACACTTTACAATACTTGTTAAAGCAATAACAACGCTTTACTACTTGTTAACACAATTAAACTTATAGCTTGCTTATTCGCAACTCGATTCTCCGCTCACTTTACTTGTAGCTTGCTGACTTGTAACTGTCCCCACTCCGCTGTGTCGTGGCTCTTATATACCTGCGCTCACACTTATGGCAACTCTAGAACGTTCTGAAGTTTATCGCTCGTTCTCTTTCTCTCGCTGTTCGCAGTGTTCATCCAACTTGACGTTTCTCTTTGTGGAACATTCTACGTCATTCCTCGAACATTCCGCCTATTTCTCGTTGTTCGCTTTGTGTTGCCGCAGTATTCGCCACAGTACATACATACATGCATTCCACAAAGTGAACGTAGTATGTCGGTCAGCGTTCGGAACTTACTGCAATGGCAGTAGATCTACTACACTTCTTAGCGAAATTGAATTTTCTACTGCGTCTTTCAACTCTTGAATTTTTTACCACCACTTGAATTATGACAATATATTTCGAGTCAGTAAAGATGTTTCTGCAACAAAGCACATAGTACCGTAAATATATTTTATTGTTGGGATAAAAATGTAAAAAAAAAAGATGCATTGTCATAAGCCCATATCAATGCACTAACCTTTTATAAATATTTCACATATTTTTATGTAAAATTCAAAATGGAATAAGACATTTTGTAATAAAATTTGAAATTAAACTTATGTATTCTGCTGCATATGAGCTACCCTGTTTTTAGGCGAGTATCGCCTACAGTGGCATCCAAACCTTTTTTTTTTGGGTGGCAGACTAGTTGTAGGGTTGCGAGAATGGCTAAAAAACTCTCCAAATGTAGAGTAATACGTTTTCGACAACTTCATGCAACGAAGTTGAACTGCTAATTACGAATATTAGTAGATCAAGTCATCAACGGAAATGATCTTTTTCACTTAATATTGGCACTTCCAAACATCATAAAGGCAATTTACAATTTTCGATGTAATACAAATTTAACTTTGCCAAGGCATTCCTGCTCAATGGAATGTATGGCATTTGTGCGATCCACTTTTCATTTCTTTGTGGGTCGAAATCTTGCCTTATACATAATTTACACGAGTCAGTTTGCGCCGTACGAATGATAAACCCATTTACACAAACCAAACTGTTCTTATGCATCAGCGAAATAGTTATGCCCTTAATGTAATTAGCCAATGTCGATACACTCGCCACCCAACAACTCATATCAAGCGTAAAACTCGAACCAACGTAAAGTATCGACACAATTTCAGAGGAAACGATGTCTCAATTTGCCGCAATGAGGAAAAGGGCCGAACAGCGCGCCCATCGCTATCCGCAACCATGTCGCCTATGCGACGCAAATCATCCGATCAGGCTTAGCCCTTTGTATCGTGCGAAGTCGCCAGAGGAAAGATTGCGTGAGGCCTTACTAGGACGCTACTGCGCTAATTGCCTCGCGATGAATCACGAATTAAAAGACTGCGTGAGCGAAGGCAGATGTAAACGATGTGGCGAAAAGCACCACTCGACACTACATTTCGAGGATGAACCCAGCACATCGAAAAAGTCATGGGCCCAACAGGTGGAGGAGGAAGAAGAAAATTCCGATGGTGTAATCTCGCTACTTGCGTCCGATTCTGGAACGGAAACGCGGCCTTTCCGTCCAGATACCGAAGAAGGTGCACTTTCAGGCGATGTAGCGGAGACTCGGCCTCTCCGCGCATTCGCAGAAGGGGGATCGGAAACTAGGCCTTTTCGACCCCTATTGCAGCACGAGCGGAACCGGTTACGTGGAGCGGAAACCAGGCCTTTCCGCCTGCGTAATCCCAGACGCAAGTCCTCTCGACGCACACAAAAAGAAGGTAGACTGGCGACTCGGCCTCACCAGCTATCGAAACGACGTACGTTCCGAAACGGAATCTTGGGTCACCATACCATAGCTGCGCCAACACTTCAACCAATGATCGCTATCGCTCCGACTGCAGTCGTTAAAGTAGAAGCTGGAGGGCGCCTACATTTGATCCGCGCGCTTGTCGACGTATGTTCCCCTCGAACTATAATATCACTTGACTTAGCCCGAGAGTTGTGCCTGGACGAGACGCGCGTTAGGTTGTCTGTTATGCTTACGGGGAAAATATGGGCAAAATAAACGGGTAGCAACTCACGCTATTGCGCTACCCAATTTTAGCAGAATAAGCCCATCTAGCAACGCGGATGCCTCAGTGGCTGAGCCGTACGCGCATATACGCTTAGCGGACCCTCGCTTTTATGCGTCCGCACCGATACGCGTGATCCTGGGAACCGACGTTTACGCAGATATTTTATTACCTGGGACACTGCCCAAAACATTTGGACCACTGCTCGCCCAAAGCACCATATTTGGTTGGGTGCTGTCCGGGGTCTCTAGAGCGTAACTTTCCTTTTTTTACATACATACATTACATCTAAATTATCATACTCTAAAATGAAATAAAATAATGAATTTAAATAAAGTGCATTTGAAAAAGTAACCACGTACATTTCCTTAATTACCACTTATATTTACATCTGCAGTAGCACTCCATAAAGGAAGGACGAACTCTACCTTAATGAATGCCGACGCTGCTGCCTGATTTGATCATTAACATCAAGACATAGAAAACATTTGTTTGTAAAAACCATGTGCGCTTGGTAGCTGAAACGCGGCCGATATTTAGATGTTGCTTACCGCAAGGGGGCCGGGATGTTTAGGCCTTAAGCCTAAATATTTCCAAATATAATGCACCACCCTAATGTGTCATTCACATATGTGTACATTTATGCATGCATACTTGTACACATGTACGTATATTATATATTCGCGCCGTTAGTTTAAGTTTCCCGCCGGATAAAGTATCTTTCGTTGAATTTCCCCTCAACGTCCTTTCTTTGTCCGGCGGTTCGAACGAAAATCACGGCTTTAGATTTTTTTCACTTTCACATCGGGAGACCAAGGAGAAAGAACTGCAGCTA